GGTGATTTCGGGGGGAAAACGGAAGACGGTTCGCGAGCGAATATCGCGCGATTAGGTAGAAGGAAAGACATTTGACCTCGGTGGCGATTACTCGAATCGGTGGAGCGATCGACCGGCGGCGAGCGTCGTCTCTCGATTTCCTCGTCTACGCGTTCCATTTAACGCCGGTCCTCTTCCGGTGATAAGAATATAACGTAAGCGTGCATCGAGCACGGGCAGACGAGGACAGTGGTTGCGACGCGGTGACGAATTATATTATATATTGTAGACGGCGAGAGATTGGAAACGCGACCGGCGGGGAGTAGTAAGCGGGATATATACGCGAGCGCGCGTTACCACGGTACTCGACAGTCGACAGTCGACACGCGACGTCCGAACGGAGCGGGTCGTATTTCTCTGGTCTCTGGTCTCTGGTCTCGTCCCGTCCCGTTCCAAGTCTCACGCATCGCGTTACGTTCGTCGAGAGGAGAAAGGGGAGCAGACAAGCCACGCTCTTTACGCTCTTTGAGAATTCTCGACGATCATACATGTTTGATCGGTTCGCGTTTTAAGATGACCGCCTCGGCACTCGTTCCCTCGTCTTCCTCTCTCTCCTTCCCATCCCTCTTCCCGATCGCTGCAGTTTCGAGCTCGCCGTTCTCGCCATCGTCGCCGTGGTCGTCGTCGGCTTCGTCGGCTTCGTCGGCTTCGTCGTCGTCGACGTCCGCGTCCGCGTCGTCGTCGTCGACGTCCGCGTCGTCGTCGTCGACGTCCGCGTCGTCGTCGTCGTCGTCGTCGTCGCCGCCGTCGCCGTCGCCGTTACCCTCCCGCAGAAAGAAGAAATCGAATCGGTGGACGATCGATTGCGATCGATGTTCGAGATTATGCGCGAAGAAGAACCGCTGAATCGAGGAGAAACGAGAAAATAAGAAGACTGCGTATAACGCTTGTTGGATTGATATGCCGATCGCCTCGTTGTTCACCGATTGACCAAACGAGAGTAAACGAGAGAAGCGCAGAGAGAAAGAGAGAGAGAGAGAGAGTAGGGAGGTGGTGCGTGCGTGCGTGGATCAGGAGCCGGCTATGGGAAAGCTGGCAACGACTGGTCGACTCGTGACCCGTGACAACGAGGAAGAGGAGGCATTCGCGAGGTTGCTGGAGAGCCGCAGCAGCGCCAGTTCCGGCCGCGCTCTCGCCGCGGTCGCTATTGGCGGGACGATCGGGACTGCTCCTCGAGCTGGAACTGGAACGGCGGTCGACGGAGGAAGAAGAAGGAGGCGAAGGAGAAGGAGAAGACGGAGGAGGGCGGCCGGAGTTGGAATTGCGGAAGAATCGTCGGGACTACGTCGGGACGAAACGGCAAGGAAGAAAAACGGTGGTTTTCCTGGGAAGAGAGGAGCGGAGAGTGCGGTCGTCCGCGAGTGGGAAGGGAGGGAGGAGCGCGGAGGAAAAAGAAGTTCCTCCTCCCTGGTGGTGGTGCTGTGCGGAATAGCGCGGTTCGTGGCGGTGGCGGCAGCGGCCGCGGCGCTCTGCGTGCCCGCCGCGTCGATGCCGTCGCGAGAGGAGAATCCGCTGGGTGGAACCGGTCTCGCGCATCGCCACGACCTCGACCGCTCGACCGGTCTCGAGGACGTCTACGAGGACGCTTTCGAGGACGCTTTCGAGAACGATTTCCAAGAAGAGGAGGACCGACCGACCGAGGTGAGAACCGTTCTCGACGAGACCGAGCTGGATATCATCAGGAGAAGCATCGCGCGAGGTCTCGGTCTCGAGAGGATCCCCGACCCTTCCAAGGTGAGTCCGTTCCCGGCCTAATGCCCGGTAAAAAATGTCCAAGGGGCTCGTTAGGAGGAACGGGGGGAAAGGTTCGCGACTGTGGCGGAATGGTAGACGCGAAACGAAGGGATGGGAAGGGAAGGGCATGCCGGCGTGGGGGAAGTGAGCAGCAGCAGGTGGCTTGTTTTACGCGAGAGAGGAGTTTTTGTCGGAGCGACGCGCGTTCGCCGGTGAAGAATGGGGAAAGGTAGGTGTCGGAGGATTTGGTACGAGGGGCACGAGCGGGTAAACAACGTGGAGTCAAAGGCGAGAAACGTGGGTGGTCCGCGTTGCTGCCCCACTTTCGCTAACGCATGCAACAGCACGTGCGCGTTCCTGCTAGTATGCAAAACCGGCTGTCCACGTGCGTACGAGAACGCTCTTCTCTTTCTCCCGGCCTCCTCCTCCTCTCTGTTCGCGGCAAGGTTGGCCCAGGTGTTGCTCGGCGACGCGAGGAGTCTCGTTTCGATCTAAATTCGGAGCGTTACGCAAACTATCGATCATCCGGAAATTCCCAGGCGATCGGTGAAATCGGAACTCGTTCCGGATCTTGAAAAGGACGAGAGAGAGAGAGAGAGATGGGCGAGAACACCTGTTGTCGCAGCAGCAGCCGTTATGCCTCCACGCGATAACGAACGTCGATTCCCGCCTGTCCTCGAAACTCGAGGACGCCGTGGAGGAACGTGAGAGAGTATGCGAACGCGCCTCTATACATATGTATCTCTAATGCCGAAGGGGCATAGAACCAGTTATCTTTTTCGTTCCGTGTGCGTGCGCGCACCACCCTGCACGCACACAACCTTCTCCTCTCTTTCACCTCGTTCGACGCACTCTACGCATACTACCCACCGTCGACATGGTTTTAACGAGACGAGACGAGACGAGACAGGAGGATACATTCGTAGATACATATGTATATGCTTACGTGCGTGAAACGACTTTTCTTTTCTATGCGTCACGATCGACTGGCAAGCACGCCGATTCATTATCATACATATGATAATGGTACGGTACGGTACAGTGCGAAGCAGAAATTGGAAATTGAAAACGAAATCGTGGTCCGATTTTTGCCTCTTGGATGGACTTTCGCGGCGAAAGTGGCGAAAGAGGATCGACCTCGGGGAAGAATGGTTGCGCTTGGGTGAAGGTGACACGCGACGGAGAAAGAGAAAGCGGGGATCGAGGGCGAACTCGGGCAATCTTAGAAACTCGTACGCACATTCCTGCCGAAAAATGTGTTCGAGTACGTATGGCTAACAATAAGTAGACGCGGTGTACGCGCCGCTTGCGAAACATCTTTCTTCGAGCCGTAGCGTGGGAGGCAAGCGAGCGCCAACGTTTCTCTCAAGGTCGTCCGCATTCGCTTCGAAGCTTCCTCGAGGGTTTTCACCTTCCTTACGCCGATCGAACTTACAGCTCAACTGTACGGTAGCTTTCGACGGAAATCACTTCCTTCTCT